TGGTGGATGGCCTTCAAGATGCAGGAATAAGTCATAATCAAATCGGACTTTCTTAGGTTCTTCCTGGGTGTTTAAAAAAGGGAAAAAACAGAGTTATGCATTAAGTAGAAATAAAAACAGGAAAGGTTTACTCCTCATAGGGAACAGAAAAGAACCAGACATCTAAGAACTATAGTGTCAAGGAAATACTAGGGAAAAAATTATCATGAAATTATAACATGAAGTGGAAATATATGATAAATTAGTTCCTTGTGCTGGGGAAAAAGAAGAAGAATGAACTTATCACCTTCCCCACAATCTCTCAAGCAGTATGACACCATCAACCAGCCACCCAACTGGAAACCTTTGAAGCCACTTCTTCCTCTTCTCACCTCACTCCCACCCCCATCATCAAGGGCTGCTATCGTCTCTCCTAAATATTTCTTGAACAAGCCCTGCAGTCCGTACTGTCAATGCTCTTACTCACTACCCAGATTACAAAAAACTCCTCCATCTAACAGGTCTTCCTACTTCAGGGAAGATAGATTCAAAATACAGATAGGAAGGATAGACACTCTTCAGTTCCTCCTTCATTCATGCCTCAAAATTATCTCTCTGAAAGAAAAATCTAGCCGTTTTCATTCCATGATTTAAATTTCAACAGCCTCCAATGACTATTAGGATTAAAAAAAAATTAAGTTCACTTCAATGCCACACAAGGCCTTCATAAGCTAGCTCTTCTGTTTATATCCCATCACACCCCTTCTGCCCATCTGATGGACCAACAACACGTCACTTGCTGCTGGTTGCTTCCCGGTAACTACTATGTTCTATGTTAACTCTGGTTTTCACTCTTGCTTTGTATTACTACCTTCAATGTCTACTTTCTGCTTTATCTAGCTAAGTTTTACTCATCATTCTCCATTCAGGTTTCACTTTCAGGAAGCCTTCCTTGAACTTCATCCCCCAATCCTCCACTGCCTCTCCTTTGCTCTGTGCACATCTTCCTCTTTTCTTTGATACATCTCAGAATAGTTGTCTCCTTTTATTTCCTTTTTCCCTGCTAGATATTAAGATTATTGAAAGTAGGAACAATGTTTGCATCATCATTGTACCCTCAACAAATAGCTGAGTGCTTCCACATTGTAGGAATGTAATAAATATCTGTGAAATTAATAAAATAATGGCATTTTCCCAAATAAAGAACTTTTGTTGTTTTGTCAGTTGTCAAGTTGGCACCAACTCATGGCAACCCCATGTACAACAACAGAATGAAACGTTCTTGGTCCTGTACCATCTTCATGATTGCTGGTACGCTCGAGTCCATCGCTGCACCACTGTGTATTGTGAGTGCCTTCCAACCTAGGGGACTCATCTTCCAGCATCGTATTAGACAATATTCTGTTGCGATCCATAGGGTTTTCATTGGCTAATTTTCAGAAGTAGATAGCCAGGTCTTTCTTTCTAGTCTTTTTTAGTCTGGAAGCTCCACTGAAACCTGTCTGCCATGGGTGACCCTGCTAATATTTGAAATACCAGTGGCACAGCAGCAACATGCAAGTCACCACAGTATGACAAAATGACAGACGGGCGGTGGAATAAAGAACTAGGAGGACGTGATGGCATCATATTCAAAAGAACACAATAACTAGAATTTCATGATACGCAGGTTCTACTCTAAAGCCCTTATTAGTTGAACATTTATAGCTCTCTACAGACTGATTTTTAAACATGTGAGGCAAAATGAAGACTGAGGAAAATATTAATATGTACTCTGACATTCATCTCCTTTGGATTACCTATGAGCCCTGTTTTGTAGATGAGGAAATTAAGGCACTTAGAATTTGTGATATCACTAACATGTGATGAAACAAAGTGATTTGAACCCAATTCTTTTGACTCAAAAGCTTTAGCACTGGAAACTCCATCAGAATGTAGGCGTTAACCTACTACAACTGCATGGTTTCCACTGCCTCATAGGTATTTCCCCAAATCAGTGTCTGTACTCATTTCCTCACCACCTCTTCACTTTCACTAAAATCTGGCATGAAAGTCACTCCTCTGTCATTCCTGTTTTCCTCACAGCTTTCTAGGCATTCCTTCTCAGTCTTCTTCACAGGCTTCTCTTCTTTCTCCATTGACCACTAAGTGTTCCTATCTTTCTATAAATTTCCCCAGGGAGAGGGACCCATTCACAGGGAGTTAATTCTCCCTCTACTACAGTGACTCTCCTATCTGAACCTCCAGTCCAGCTTACACTTGAGGACCATATGCATATGTTCCATAGTCATATTCAATATTTCCACTGGCATGACCCAGAGTTAACATCAAACTTACGCATTATCCTAAATTGAATTGTCTTCATCTGTCCTTTCTCTTATATATCTTGACGAACAGCAATTCTGTCCAACTGCTTGTCAAGGTTAAAAATACATAAGTCATCCCTGATTCTGCCTTCTCCCTCACTCACCACAGTCAAATTGTCTCTGAGTTCTATCTAGTATTCCTCTTTAGAGAGAGAGAGATAGATAGCTGCCGTCGAGTCGACTGACTTATGGCAACTTTATATCCAATAGAATGAAATGTTGCACAGAACTGCAATGATCCTCATGATCTCCAGAACACTTAAGCCCACTTTTCTCGCTATTGTGCCAATTCATCTCACCAAGAGTCTCTCTCACCCTCACTGGTCCTCTACTTCACCAAACGTAATGTCTTCCTCCAGCAATTGATTCCTCCTGATGAAGTGTCCAAAGCAAGTAAGTCATACAATGTTCTGCTGTGATCCATAAGGTTTTCATTGGCTAATTTTTGGAAGTAGACTGCCAGGCCTTTCTTCCTAGTTTGTCTCAGTCAGAAAGCTCCACTGAAACCTGTCCACTATGGGTTACCCTGGTGGTATTTGAAATACTGGCAGCATAGCTTCCAGCATCACAGCAACACACAAGCCACCACAGTATGGCAAACTGACAGACGGGTGGTGGATTTCTCCTTAGGAGCTCTCAAATCTACCCTCGTTACTCTAGTTGCCATCACCATTGCCTTACCTTCGACCTTCAACATTCCTCACCTGGGCTCCTCCCTATTTTTTAATTTACCCCATTCTACCTCCCACAATGAAAAGAGAGGGATCTTCCTAACACGAAAATCAGATAATGTCTTTCCACTGATACAAATGTCTTTAATGGCTTATCAATTTCTACAGGATAAAATCATACTTCCTTGGAAAAACCATCACTCTTTTACTACCTTACCTGTATTTCCTTTGCTCTCTCCTGCCACAATTTTGAAGCACTTGCAGTTCCTCAATACTTCATATTATCCCATGCATTTTACTTCTCATACATAGTGCTCCTTGTGCCTAAAATGTCTTCCTATCCCAAAATACCTCCCTCCTTTGTCTCATTAATGCAAAGTCATTATTCAAGAATGAGGTAAAGCATTAACTCCTCTGGAAAGTGTTCCTAACCCTCCCAGTCCAACCTGAAGTAGATATACCTCTTACAGGATTCTTCTATTAGTGTAATTGTCACATTATGATCATTTTTTACTTATCTGTCTCTCCTCTAAACTGTAAAACAGTCAGCACAACCTTAGAATTAATTAAAAACAGAAGGAGGGCAGTTTTATGCTTTGTAATTGGGAGTATAAATTGGTAAAGCCTTTTTGGAAAGCATTTTGGCAATATCTGTCAACATACTAAACACATATGACATTTGACCCAGTAACTCAACTCCTAGGAATCTATTCCATAGAAATATTCCAATATTTGTACAAAGATATATACTATAAAATATTCAGGGCAGCACTGTTTATAATAGCAAAAAAAACAGGAATGATTTATTTGCATTTGAGTATATCCTTACCATGAAATACCAATCAGATGTTTAAAAAATACTGACTTGGAAAACACTCCAAGGCATATATTTAAGTGAATAAAAGGCAAGTCACAGGAAAATATTAAAGTATGGTCTATATGCTGCTGCCAATCTCTACAGTGACATACATTTTATCTACGTAAATGCATAGGGTGCTATACCAAGTAGTTAATAATGATTAAATTGGGTCAAGGTAATAAAACACCAAAGTTTTATCTCATACACTTTTACTAGGAGACTATAGTCAAAATTAGTTGTACACTTTTTTAAAAGAGAAAATATATTGATAAATATAATTACCAGCAGAAAAAGAATGAAGCACTAGCAACATCACTTTATAGCGCACAGCAGTTTAAAGAAACAAAAATTCACCTTTCAACAAAATTAAGGGTGGACTCCAGAAAGTGACTCTCTTTCTATGAATCCTGACTGCAATTTTCTTTTAAAGGTTTTGTTTTTTGAATAAGGAAAAAATAACCCATCAACTTGTGTTCTGGCCAAATGGATATCTTTTCTCAGAAGGTGGACGCCAATATCCTGTTAATCTATACTGTTCAGAAAAGATTCTTCTTCCAAGTTCAAATAAGAAGGCATGTAATTTTTTCTGTATGTAGAACTAATACATTTCCTAGAGCTGGAAATCTGTTTTCGGCAACATTAAATTACCCCTCTCATTCTGCATCATCTTTAAGTCCTGGACATTTACTCTCATGCTTTTCCTAAGGACAAAATCAAAGCGAGAAGCATGGGATCCTTTCAAACCTTAAGTGCCACAGTTAACTATGCCTCAATGTGCCTGTCTGTTTAGTGTTTCCGCAACAAACAAGATTCTTTTACAGATAGGTTTATTCTGTTGAGCATGAATATGGAATAAGACAGAATCAGTGTAAAGGAACTCAAAAGAAGTACTGCCACTCCACAACCCTATTGACTTCTGCCCGCGACTAAATGAGCAAAACTAAAGACAGGCCTATCAGAAGCCAGGAAAGCCAAGGATGATAATGAGACCAAGGATAGGATAATATCCATAATATATAGTAGTAGGACTACTACTACAACATCACGTGGGGATCTTGCTGCTTTCCCTCATCACCTACGAAAACTCTGAACAACACTTTTTTTAATAAACCATTACTGTAATGGATCTTCATTCTTTAAGACAGAGTTAACGCCAGGGATGACTAAAATGTTCAATATTCCAAAGGAATGAAATGTGCATTCTGGAGCAACAGCCTAATCAGTAACCAGCTGCCATCAAGTTGATTCCAAATCACAGTGACCACATTTGTGTCAGAGTAGAACTGTGCCTCATAGGGTTTTCAATGGCTGGTTGGATGTAGGTCACCAAGCCTTTTTTCTGAGGTACCTCCGGATGAACTTGAACCTACAACCTTTCTATTAGCAGCCAAGTACATGAATCGTTTGCACCATCCAGGGACTCTATTAAATTTTCACCCATGGATCATTTCAGTAGTAACAGAAGCAAGAAATATAGGCAGCTCTGTTATCCAGATCAGAATATAGCAAACCTTGATTTCTAAGACACTCTATGAGGAGAAATGAAAAGAAGTGAGGAAGCAATAATTTCCTTTTTTTAATTAAAATATTAATAACATATAGAAATAAGTACTTAAAATACTACATCTATGTACCCTCCACTGAGATTATACAGATGTTAATGTTTTCACCAGGTTTACTGTATCTTTTTTTTTTTAAGAAATAAATTTTATAGATACTAAGCTTCTTGATACCTTCCTCCTTTTTTCTCTCCTCTCCTAGTAATCATTATCCTTAAGTTCCTGGGTTATCATTCCAACACATGCTCTTGTACTACATACGTATGCTTCCAAACACCATTTACTTGTTTCAGTGGTTTTAAAAAAATACATAAATTATACTAGACCATACACACATATACACTTCTGCACACAGCCACAACAGTGGACTCAAACGTACCAGTGATCATCAAGATGCACAGGACTGGACAAAGTTTTGTTCTATATACATATGGTCACCATGAGTCAGAGTCAACTCAATGGCAACTAACAGCAATAACAACATACTTCTGCAACTTTTCGGTCAGCATATTTGTATTTGAGATTTATCCATTAACTGCTACACGGAATTCTATGCATTATGGAACCACCAGTTATTTACCCATATCTCTGTTGTTGTTCGGTGCTGTGGAGTCAATTCTGACTCAGTAACCCCATGTGACAGAGTAGGACTGCACCATAGGGTCTCCTAGGCTGTAATCTTTACAGGAACAGATTGCCAGTCTTTCTCCCACACAGCAACTGGTAGGTCAAACTGCCAACCTTTCAGTTAGCAGCCGAGCACTTAACCATTGTGCCACCAGAACTCCTTTATCCATATCTCCACTGTTATTGCTGTGTGTTGTCGAGTTGATTCCGACTCAAAGTGACCCTACAGGACAGAGTAGAACTGTCCCATAGGGTTTCCAAGCCTGTAATCTTTACGGAAGCAGACTGCCAATTCTTTCTCCCCTGGAGTGGCTGGTGGGTTCGAATCACTGACCTTTCAGTTAGCAGCTGAGCGCTTTAATGACTGCACCACCAGGACTCCTTCGACCCATATCTCTACATAGGGCCGATTAGGTGTATGCCACTTTTTCATATTACAAACACTGAAATATATATGTCTCCTTATGTACATGTGAAAACAGCAATTATCATCACTAAGCATAAAATATTAAAGAAAATCTAAAACTAGAAAACACAAATAAGCTAACCTGGATACTGAAACAGAAAATCTACTTAACGGTATTCAGCCTACATGTCATTTTATAGTGGCCTCAAAGGAAAAACTGCTTGCTTTCTCATGTGCCTCTTTCTTCCTTCATATTTTAAGAAAATAAAATTCCTAACGAAGTGAGTAATATGTCTTACAGTTATAAAAATGACTACCCAAAAAGCCTTCAATACATCTTACTTTTCACTCTGTTCCATGAATTTCAATAAGACTGAATTTATGGGGGAAGGAGTAGGGGGAGGATGGGTGTGTGTCAGTTGTTGCCTCTTCATCCTTCACTTGTTCTCTTTCTAAATATTATATATGAGGGAATTGAAGTTATTTTTATAAAGCAAGAAACTGGGCAATTCATAGAATAGATTTCTCCACTCAACCAAGAACTGCTGAAAATGACAAGAAAAATTAAAAAGAGAGGAGAGAAGATATTTCAGCAAAGCCTTACTTCCAAACAGAAGGCAATGGAATGTTAAATTAGGTGGTGGGAAGACAGTGGTATAACCCTCATGGTCTTCCATAAGAGATCATAATTGCCCACCCCCTCATTTCTTAGGGACAAGGCTTCCTCTGATTCCAAGGCCTAGACTTTTCCTACAGTGTAGCCTGAAGCCTAGATGAAATAAAGGTACTGGAAATGGAGAATGTGATAAGAGGAAGAAAAGCACCACAAGATCTCCATTAATGAAACGCCTATGATATTAAAGTGTGTGAGGAGGGTGGAGGAGATAGGCTCTAAATTCTTTCTTATAAACAACTATTTGAATTAAAAATCAGTACATCAAAAAAAAAAAAAAAAAAAAAAGGGAGGGCTAAGGATTTGAATCGACATTTATCCAAAGAAGATATTACAAATGGCCAATAAGCACATGAAAAGATGTTCAAGGTCATCAGGGAAAGGTAAATCAAAACCACAATGAGAAAACACTTCACAGGACGGCTATAATTTAAAAAATAAAAAGAATACAAAAAATAAAAAAAGATAATAAGAAGTGCTAGCAAGGATGTGAAGAAACTTGAACCCTCATACACTGCTGGTGGGAATGTAAAATGGTACAGTCGCTTTAGACAGTTTGGCAATTCCTCAAAAAATTAAACAGAGTTACCATATGACCCAGCAATTGCATCTAGATATATATCTAAGAGAATTAAGAACATATGTCCACATAAAAACTTACACATAAATGTTCATAACAGTATTGTTAATAATAGCCAAAAAGTAAAATAACTCAATGTCCATCAACTGATGAATAGATAAGCAAAACGTACTTTATCCATACAATGGAATATTATTCAACCATAAAAAAAAAGAATGAAGTATTAATAAATGCTATAACATGGATGAACCGTGAAAACATCATACTAAGTGAAAGAAGTCAAACACAAAAGACCACATATTATATGACTCCATTTATATGAAATGACCAGAATAAAAAAGTCTGTGGAGACAGGAAGTAGATAATGGTTGTCAGGGGCTGGGGGAGGGGAAAATGAGGAGGGATTGCTAATAGGTACAGGGTTTCTTTTCGGGGTGATGAAAGTATTCTGAAATTAGACAGTGGTCATGGTTGCACAATTCTATATATATAATAAAAACCACTGAGTTGTATACTTCAAAAGAGTAAATTTTCTGGTATGTGAAATATACCTCATGAAAAAAAAAAGTATGAGAAAAAAAAAAAGCCAAAAACTAGTCTCTTAAGGAAAACTCAGCTTGAGATGAGAAAAAAAAATCAATGCATCAATGTAAAAGCATATCATACAACCATATATATAAATGCATCTCAACAAATTCTGATTTGATGAAAAAATATGTGGACAATTCCACGGTATTACCTTTAAGAAAGGTAATCATTATTCTAGCAAAGAGTTATTGCTTTTAAGGCATAGAAGTTAAGAGTATAGCCAATACAGAGAAAGACCTAGATCAAGAATCTGGTTTCAACACTTGCCACCTGTGTGTGGCCTTAGCAAGCTACTCAACCTATTACTCAGTTTCCTTTTCATTATAGTAGAAATGATAGCACTTACCTCTCAAAAATTCTTATAAATCTACTAAATGAAATCACATTATGTAAAGGGCTCAGCAGGGTACCAAAGGTAAAGTAAGCACTCAAATATTTAACTACACAGGAAGAGTTATTGTCAAACGTGTCCCAAAAATATAAATCTAAGAAAAACCCAATTAATAGGGGTAGAAGGTTTGTAGGGAGGTAGTATAACGCATGAGAAGACAGGCTCAGAAAAAAAAAAGAAAGTATGGAAAATAAAACCTACTTCTGTCATCCATGCATTCCTACTTTATAGAATAGTTTTATTACAGCTTAACTAAAAGTGAATTATTATCACTTTGGGGAAAATTTTTGAAAATATGGTAACTTTGTGAGAAAGGAAGGAAAAGACTGATTAAAAATAACAGCTAACATTTTTAAGGGCTTATATGAGACACTGCTGTAAATACACTACACAGATTTAGTTTAACGTATATGAGGCAGATACTCTTATTATCCTAACCCCATTTTATAAATATGGAAAGACAGCCTCATAGAGGTTGAGCAATTTTTTACAATATAATGTTCACAATATTATAAAGTCTATGTGTTCTGTCAAATATGTACTGCAAAAAACGTTTAAAATCCAGTAGAATCCATAATATTGCAATTTGAAGTAACTGTGTGTGTGTATCAGCTAGA